CCCCCCTGCCCCCACGTACCGGCTGCCCTTCCTGGGAAGAGCCCGGGTCCCCCCCAGCTCTGCAGCGGGGCAGCTCCGTCCTTGCCCTCGACGCCGGGTTTCCCCAGCGCCGGAGATGCCGGCCATTCTGGCTTCCTCCTCCTCCCCATCTTGTCCCCCCCACCCTGTCCCCATCGAGCCGGGGTCCCCGTGCAGCCGCCCACGGCGGGTGCTGAGCCCTGCTGAGCTCACGGTGCTCGGTGGGGCCATGGGTAGCTGCTTGCTTGCAAACACCAGGGCTGACCGCAAAGTTGCCCATGCACGGCTTGAAATCCCTTTTCCACTCTCCCCCGGTGCCAGAAGCCCCTCGAAAACATCTGTCTCGTGGTGCACCGGTGCCTCACCGTGTCCCTGCCCTGGCCGTGCCCCGGCTGTGCAGCCAGCGCTCCAGAGCTGGGATTGCAAAGCACGGCCGGTCCCTCCACGCCGTGATGGCACATCCCATCTCCTCACAGCTCTTGGAGGCTTTTCCTCTCACCCTGCCCTTCATATTTGGGGTTAATATATCCCCTGTATGCATCAGCTGTGGTTTATCCCCCTTCAGCCTTGTTTCATCCGCTGCGGGCTGTCCCCGGCATCGCTGGGTCCTTTTCCAGGGCTCTGTTGTTGCTCATCTCAAACATCATCCCCCTGTGCCCTCCTCTAAGGCCGTTTGCGACAGCTCCGATTGATAACGAAGCTCCGATTGATAACTGTCCCAGGCTCCTCTGCTCCCATCCCCCTTTAGACGGGCCACCATGTCTAATTAATTACCTTCCTCTTGCCGTTCAATAGCTGGCTCTTGATCCATGTAATCGTATTTCTGTCCATGCTGGCTTGATTTAATTTCCCCCTTAGGATATTGCGTGGCACTGTGTATCATACCTCGCCGAAACCCCGGTCTGTTGTATCCACCGTGGCCCCTTTGTCTGCAATTACACATTGTATTTAAATAGCAAAACCCTCCAGATTTGTCTGGTTACACCACCGCAGAGCAAACCCCGCGTGTTTGTCTCCCGTCTGTTCCCCTGGCAGCGTTTGCTTTGGGTCCTGTGCTCCGCTTTCCCTCCCGCCCCGCAGATGCTGTGGTCCAGACCCCCATCCCGCACAACACCTCCCGCATCCCCATCCCATCCCATCCCATCCCATCCCATCCCATCCCATCCCCGCGTGGGAAACCAGCCCCATGGAAAGTCATCGTGGTGCCCTGGAGAGCCCGGCTAGGGCAGCTCCCCTCTCCCCGGCATCCTCTTCCCCCCCTCCACGGGCCGCCGTCCCCTTTGTATCCGCTCCCGGGCTCTGGTTTTTCCCGGTCCTTCTTGGTTTGCTCCGGTGTTTCAGAAGTTGGTGGCTCAAAGCACGCTCCAGCTGAACCCGGCGGTATGTGAGTCCACGCTCGCTGGGTGCGGGGTCCCAGCTGCCCCCTGCCCACCCTGTCCCCCCTGTCCCGGGGTGTCCCTGCTGTCCCCAGGGAGAGCGGTGGCATGGCGGGGAGCTGCGGCAGGAGGACAGACCCATCCGCCTGGCGTTAGGGCTTAGTCACCAGCTGGTGTGGGTGATCCGGGATGTCTGCTCCCTCCCCGTGCCTCAGTTTCCCTGTTGCAAAACCGGCTGTTGGCTGATGTGCCGTGTCCTTCTCTCAGGGTCACCTCTGTGCCCGGCGGGCGCCAACGTCCCACCCCCCCGGTGCACCATGGCGTCCCGCATCGGTCTGCGGATGGAGCTGATGAAGCAGCAAGCGCAGCAGGAGGCCGAGAGGGAGCGCATGCAGCAGCAGATGATGATGAACTACATGCAGCAGCAGCGGATGCCGGTGGCTTCCACCCCGGCCATCAACACCCCCGTCCACTACCAGTCCCCACCACCCGTGCCCGGAGAGGTCCTCAAGGTATAGTGGTGGGGGCGTCCTCCCTGCCCCGGGGCTGAGGGGGTGTGGGAGATCCCTGATGGTTTGTCTCCTTGCAGGTTCAATCCTACCTGGAGAACCCCACCACGTACCACTTGCAGAAGTCGCGGGACAAGAAGGTTCAGGCTTATCTCTCCGAAACCTATGGGAACAAGTTTGCTGCCCATGTCAGCCCCCTCAGCCACTCTCCCAAGCCGCCCCCCGCTGCGTCCCCCGGTGTCCGACCCGGCCACGTCATGTCCTCCTCGGCGGGCAACAGTGCACCCAACAGCCCCATGGCCATGCTCAACATCGGCTCCAACCCCGAGCGGGAGGTGAGGAGGTGCTACCGGGCTGCCGGGGGAGACGAAGGTGCTGGAAAGGGCCAAGAAGCCCACTTGGCACCTTACGCCTTTCCCTTTCAGTTCGATGAGGTCATTGATGACATCATGCGCCTGGATGACGTTTTGGGTTATATGAACCCCGAAGTCCACATGCCCAACACGGTGAGTCTCTGACGTGCGTTAGGAAGAGACCAGACCCCGGGCTGCGGGAGGGAGGGTGGCCTGGGGGTCCCGCAGCCCCGTGCTTGCAAGGACGGAGGTGGCACAGAGGGGACGTGTCCTTCTGCCCCATCCCCGCAGCGATGCCCGGGGAGCAGCCCAGCCCAGCCTTGTCCCTGGGACGGGTGTCCGTGGGGACCTGGGGCTGGGGGAAGGGAGGCAGCGGGATCTCCCTTTTCCAACTGCAAGAGCCAGTTCTTCCGCTTCTTTTCCCCTTTAATGACAGCCGGGAGCCCTTATAAAAAGCCGGAGAGGCGGGAGAGGGGCGTGGGGAGGGACCAAGCGCCCGCTGCAGCGTGGGGGGACGTTGGTGCTGGGAGAGGTTTCCCAACCAGGAGCTTGCTCGGAGAGGCACCATCTCCCGGGTCAGATCCGTATGGCAGCTTGTGCCTCCCAGTGGGATTCATCCTGCCGAGCCCTTCTCGGATGTGATTCATCTGCCCTATTTTAGATGCTGGCTGTGGGAGGGGATCAGCTGTGCCCTTTGAAGTCCTGTTTTCTTTGCTACTCTGATTATAGCTGTTTTAAGGGCCCGGGAAGACGATTACACCTGCCTGGGCTACGCACTCGCATCCCAGAGGCCGAGCAGCTGGGCTTGAACCCCGCTCCCACAGCCCCGGATGGAGCTAACCCACCTCTCCCTCTGGTTTTCAGCTGCCGATGTCCAGCAGTCACATGAATGTCTATAGCGGGGACCCCCAGGTGACGGCCTCTCTCGTAGGTGTCACCAGCAGCTCCTGCCCTGCCGACCTCACCCAGAAGAGAGAGCTGACAGGTACGTCCCCGGCCCCGGAGCCGGCGGGGAGCCGGCGGTGATGGTGAGCACCAAAGTTGGGGCCGCCCCGTCGCCGCGGGTGGGGAGGGCGGCTCTGGGGGATGCTGGGGTGCTCGTGGGGCAAGATGCAGCCTCGTTCCCTGCGGGTGATGTTGTGGGTCTCCGTTGCAGATGCCGAGAGCCGAGCCCTGGCGAAAGAGCGCCAGAAGAAAGACAATCACAACCTGAGTGAGTTGGGTGCTGGCTGCCCGTGGGTGGCGTGCCTTTCCCTCTCCCACCCCCGCAGCCCTTTCCCCATCACTCTTCATCCTCGTTCCCCCTCTCTCCAAGCCGGGTTCCCCTTCCCCATCCCACCTCACCCTCAGGAAATACCCCCGCAGCCCCCCTGCCGTGGCTCCCTCTTTCCCAGCTCTGCAAAGTGCCCACGGTGCAGGACAGACCCCGTTGTCCTTCTCGTTAGCACTGGGGGAAGGTCAGACCAGCCAGGGTGATGGAGGAGAGCAAGGTGCCAGAGGTTTCTCATCCTGAGCTCCCCGACTCCGGAGGGTCTGGCCGTGGCACGATGGTGGCTCCCAGCCCCACGAGCCAGGAGCAGCAGCGTGGCCGGTGGGGGCTGTGGGACATCAAGCTGCTCCTGCTGCCTCCTCACCTCCTTCCCTCTCTTCTCGTTTTGCAGTTGAGAGACGGCGAAGGTTTAACATCAACGACCGCATCAAAGAGTTGGGGATGCTGATCCCCAAGGCCAATGACCTGTACGTATCAGTGGTTTCCGTGGGGCTGGGATAAATGTGGGTCTCGTGGGCTTGCTCGACGCTCGGCCCCGGGGCAGATGGTACTTGCAGAGGGGCTTTTTGGTGGAGCAGGGGTGAGGGGAGGCGTTGCTGGCACACAGGTGACAATGTCTTTTTCCATCCTGCACCTCAGGGATGTGCGCTGGAACAAAGGGACAATCCTGAAGGCGTCTGTGGACTACATCAAGAGGATGCAGAAGGACTTGCAGAGGTCACGAGACCTGGAGAATCACTCGCGGCGTCTGGAGATGACGAATAAGCAGCTACTGCTCCGCATCCAGGTGAGCTTCCCTGTGCTCTTCCCTCCCTCCGCTCTGCTCCGGCCCCACAAGCGGCTCACTCCTGTCCTGCCGAGGGGACGGGCAGGGGTTCTCCTCCCTCTCATGGCTGTCGAGTCACCAAGAACAAAGTCTTCAGACAAACCAGACACCTGAGGTTCGGGTCACCACAGCGAGTGGTGTTGAGTTTTGCATAGGTCACCATTTTCCATCCTTCGCCTCTTCCCTGGGCTCCTTCACTGTGAGCTTCTCGGTCCCTCTGTCCCTGCCGCCTCCACGAATGCCCATGCGCTGTGTCCCCATGTGCGATGTCCCCACCAAAGACCTCCTGCGCTCTGTTGGCAGGAGCTGGAGATGCAGGCGCGCGTCCACGGGTTGCCCACCTCCTCACCCTCGGGCGTCAACGTGGCCGAGCTGGCTCAGCAGGTGGTCAAGCAAGAAGCCGGCGGGGACGAGGGGACGCTGGAGCCACTGCTGCCACCTCCGGACCCCGAATCGCAGCCGCAGCCGGCGTTGCCTCCACCGCCCCAGTCTCCCTACCACCAGCTGGACTTTACCCACAGCCTGAGCTTCGATGACGGCTCCCGGGGCTTCCCGGACAGCCTGGAGCCCGGCCACAGCGCTTCCTTCCCATCCCTATCCAAGAAGGAGCTGGACTTGATGCTGATGCAGGACACCATGCTGCCCCTGGCCTCCGACCCCTTGTTCTCGGCCATGTCCCCGGAGGCCTCCAAGGCCAGCAGTCGCCGGAGCAGCTTCAGCATGGAGGATGCAGACATGCTGTGACGAGGAGCTGCTCCGACGCCGGGGGCGAGGACTGGACCTTCAAGTTTGGTTAGTGAAGTTACAGGGCACTCTTCTCACAGGAGGAGCCCGTCCCACCGCGCACTTGAATCTACGTAGGAGTACCTTTTCTCTATGCAACGGGGGGTCTCGGATCAAGGCTCGCCAGGTACCGCCGTGTCTTTCGCAAGCTTTTTTTTTTTTTTTTTTTTTTTTTCAGGAGCTGGTGCGGACCTTCTTGGCTTGTCGTGGCGTTGGCCTGACTGCAGATTCCCCAGCCCGGGAGCGTGATCTCGGCTGCTTTGCCTTTCAGTGAATCCCTCCCAGACCCAACCCCTTTCCCCAGGCTGCTGGCTCGCAGCACGTTGGCCTGACTGCAGATTCCCCAGCCCGGGAGCGTGATCTCGGCTGCTTTGCCTTTCAGTGAATCCCTCCCAGACCCAACCCCTTTCCCCAGGCTGCTGGCTCGCAGCAGGAGCGGGCAGGGACCTTCGAGTCCCTGGGAGGAGAGGGATGATGCTCAGAGCTTTTTGTCTGGCTTGCCGCCTCCTTGCCGCCCCGCTCCGGGAGCCCACGTCCCCAAAGAGTCTTCCCCAGCGGTGCCCCCCCACCACCCCCGAGCCCTGTGGATGCTCCACGGTGCCAAGTCCTTCACGGTTCCTCCTTCCTCGGAGTGCCCGCTGCCTCTCTGGGTTGCAGGGCTGGAGGGAGACGTTAATTGGAGCAAATTAATTCACGGGGCACGGGGGGGTGTTGTCTGAGTGAGCTGGGTCTGAGGCTACGAATTCGAGTCAATGTTGAGGGCTTCCAAAATGGCCAGGAAGGGGTGTTTGATGCTCAGTCAACCCCCTGCTGGGACCCCCACCTTGCCGGGTGGGATCTCCACTCGGGGTTTGGCAGCACCCAGCACCCCAAAACCTCGCTGGCCTCTGGAAAAAGGGCTGCATGGTGCTGGGCGACCTTCAGCCTCCCTCGAGACATCCCCGCAGAGGTGCCTCTGCCCCATAACACCAAGCCTCGGCTCTTCGGGGGGGAGGATAAAGGGTTTTTACACTTCTTTTTGGGGATACTTGTTGAAAGCGGATGTTCTGCCCCACATCTGGGCATGGAGGCCCAGGCTGGGGACCAGGGGATGGTTTGTACCGATGCCAAACCTGAGCTGCTGCTCTCTGCCTTTGGCTCTCGGGTTTTATTTCTCTTCCCAGTGTCACCAGCTCGTTCCCCAGCCAGGACGGCTCGGTGATGGGGAACTGCTTTGGGCTTTGTGCCATCTTCTGCTGCCTCAGCCCGGCTGGGAGGGAGCCGAGTAGGGGAGAGGGACACTGTTCACAGGGAAAATACCGCACAGATTTTTTTCAGGGAGACGAGGGAAGACTGGGGAGAGGACACCCCTTTGCGATCCTGCGCTGTACCCCAGCATCACCCCCCGGGGCCGTGGGGGCTGTCACTGGATGGACGGGAGCCCGTGTGGGGATGGGGGTCACTGGATGCACCTCATCCTGGACCAAGGATGGGGGATGTCCCGGGGTTGGGACCGCAAGGGGAAAGCCCAGCCAAGGAGGGACAAGTGAGGTGGGGGACAGCACCGGTGGCCCCCCAGAGAGGTGCCTGTGGGATGTGAGGGTGTGGGGAAGTGCAGAAGGTGGGGAGGAGAGGGGGGAAAGGAGGAGGGAGGACGTGTCAGAGTGTCCTGGAGCGCTGGGGCAGGGCAGGATCTGGCCCCTGCCCTGCAGGGGTGCAGGGAAGGGGGCGGAGGGGATGGTGGGGCACTGGGCTGTGTGGGTTTGGGGCTGCGCGTTCACAGGAGGCCTTTGGCATCCTTCATGCATTGCCGTTAGTGCCTGTAAAGAGAATAATCCCCCCGGCAGGGCGGCAGCACCCCATAGCTGTGCTGACTACCTACAGGCGTGGGGATCTGTGGATGTACAGACACCAGAGGGTCTGCACGAGCGCTTCGGGGCGGGCATACGAAATCCCTGGTCACTTGGGATTATCGTGGCTATAGGGTGGTTGTGCTGGGCCCGCGCTGGTGGTACCCGGCACGTGTGGGGCTGGCTGGGGTGTGCGCCCACTCTGCGCCCCGCTCCTGGCACCGGCGGGCAGAGGACCGTCCGCTGCTCAGCGCGAGACGTGGCGTCTTCCCCCGGCCGTGAGTAAACAGTTGTGGATTATTATTATTTTTTTTTTTAATCTTTTGGGGTTTTTGTTTGTTTTATTTTTCTTTTCTATTTTTAATGCACTGTGCTCTGATTAAAAAATTTTACTACTGTTTTATAAATAAATGTATAAAAGAATGAACTGGAATGGAAGAAGAATCATTAAAATATATTTATTTACAACATCCCGCAGCGTTGCAGTGTGGGCTGTTTCTTCTCGTCCTGGAGGACGGAGCGTCAGGGTGCTGAAAGCTGCTTTCCCCCAGCGATGCCACGGCCGTGCCCGAAGTTCGGGCTGCAGCAGCATCCCCGTCTTGCAGTGGGGCTGACCTGGATTTGGGGGGATGCTTGTTGTTTGGTTTGGTTTGTTTGTTTTTTTGTGTTTTTTTTTCGGAAGCAAAGCCTGGCTCAGTTGGAGGGGAAAAACACTGCTGTTCCTTTCATTCTGCCGATCCCAGGGTGGTTTAGGGTTTTTAGGGTCCCTGCGGAGAGGTGCCAGCCCCCAGCCGGGCGCTTCAGGGAGATCTGCAGCTCCCGGTGCTGAGCACAGCTGGGACTTGTGAGGTGCTGACCCATCTGCTGATTGCTTAATTGGAACCAGGCTTGGCACCTTAATTAATAATAGTCGCAAGGCCCCAGAGAGCAGAGCTGGGAGGAGCTGTGTCTCTGGGGCTGAGTGTGGTGCTAGGAGTGGGGTAGGTTTGTGGTGGCTGTTCTGGTCTGTGCTGGGTGAGAGCGATGGTTGAGCCATCCCAGGAGCTCAGGTGCGTTTCCTACCTGTTGGGTGGCACCTGGAGCAGGCGTGGGGCTGAATGTGGGGCTTTTCTATCCTGTCCTTGCTGCTGGGAATGGCTTAGCATCACCCCTGGGGGGCCCAGACCCCTGGTACAGGTAGGCTTTGGGGCAGGGTATTCCCACCTCCCATTTGCAAACCTGGTGCAGGCTGGGGACCCTCCTGCCCAGCACAAGCCAGGGGAAAAATACGCTTGCAGAATCTTCTGGTTGAGACCTTGTCTGGCAAAACTCATCACACGCCACAGTTCCAGACCCTGTCCGCGCTCCTCAGTGCAGAGCTATGTGCCAGATTCCTGAAACCCCTGCTCCCCTCTGTGAGGGTGTTAAATGCACACACAAGAGAAACAAAAAACAAACAAAAAAAAGAAGAAGAAAATGCACCTTAAAATAGACTTCCCAGGATGGAAAATCACAGGGGCTAATCTTGGAAACTTTATTAAAAGAAGAAGGAGGGGAAAAAGAGAGCAAGAAGGCTGGAGGGAGAGAAAGAGTAAGTAGTTTCAGACACTTTAAAAAAAAAATAATAAATTCCCTGATTTGATTTATCTGGGGAGTGTGAACACTAAATAGAGAACAACGCCTGAAGTGTGAATTATTTCCTATATTAACACAGAGAAAAACTGATAGCCTTTTCATGTCAAGAGAATAGCACGGAGGGGAGGGAGGGGGGAGAATGACATTGTTCAATCTCCGGGTTTGCTCACTCTTTATCAGGCTGAGATCAAAATTTATTCCCAGGATGAGGCCTGCGGCCCGGCTGAGGCCCTAGAGATTTTTAAGGGCCTAATTAAGAAAACAGGATGAAAATGGCGAAATAAGAGGGCAATTTACTTCTTGCAGAATAGGGAGATCAAATCAACTTATGAGCAATTAATGTGCACAAGGAGAGAATAAAGGGATGCCGGGATATGGTAGAGGGCCTCATTTTAATGACATGCTCTGGTGTTGGCATAGAGGATTACTCTGAAGGTCAGATGTAGATTGAAACGACCTTGCAGATTCTTAACCCTCCTTCCAATTAACAGAACCAACTCAGAAATGCAAAAGACCCTGGCTTGGAGCACTGTCATCCCTTTATGTTCAGAAGGGAGGGGGGGGAAAAAAAATTATAAAGGAGAGAGAGGACGAAAGGGGGTTTCCTTCGCTTAAACAGCAGCTGCTGGAGACGGGAGCTGGGGCAGGCGGGAGAGAAGGGCTCTTAATTACAGTCTGTGAGCCACCCACGGAAAGAGGAGGAAAGGGGGTTTCCTTCGCTTAAACAGCAGCTGCTGGAGACGGGAGCTGGGGCAGGCGGGAGAGAAGGGCTCTTAATTACAGTCTGTGAGCCACCCACGGAAAGAAAAAAAAAAAAAAAATCGGTGTCAAGGCTGCAAGTGGGATATAAAAGGGAGGGAGTGCTGGTTGGGGCTCTGGTGTGTGTGACGAGCTGCGGCCGGGCTTTGCCGGCGGGGATGGATGGATGGATGGATGGATGGACAGAGCAGTGGGATGGGGAGCGGGTGGCAGGTCACTGCTGCTCC